TGGGGGCATTGCTGGGAGGAGGGGGGGCCCAAAGCTAGGAGAAGCCTGAGGGGCAGAGGTGGGAGGGGGCTGAGGGCATAGCTACAAGGGGCCTGGGGGCGTTGCTGGGGGGGAGGCCCAAAGCTAGGAGAGTCCTGGGGGGCATTGCTGGGAGGAGGGGGGCCCAAAGCTAGGAGAGGCCTGAGGGGCAGAGCTGGGAGGGGGCTGGGGGCATTGCTGGGAGGAGGGGGGGCCCAAAGCCAGGAGAGGCCTGGGGGGCACACCTCACCTTGGTGAGCCTGTAGAGTCACTTCACCTCAGTTTCCTCAGTTGTAAGGTCATGAGCAGACAGCTGGGTTTTGGAAGTCAGAAGACCTGGCCTTGAATTCTGCCTCAGCCTCTCAAGGCCAGCAGGCCTTCAGTTCACTCTCCATGGCACAGGGGGCTGCACTAATTAGAGTTTCTTACCTGAAACCCAAGAGGTGCCGATTCCCAAGCACCATGAGCTTGGATGGGACACCCAACAGTCAACAAATAGAAGACTTTATTTTCCCAAAGAACTGGCTGAAGCTGAGGCTTTCCTTCAGTTCTTTCAAAGGCATGATTCTGAGGAGGGCTCTGTAGGCTTCCCCAGCCTGCCCTTCCACTTATAGGAGGCCCAGAGAAGGAGAGGGCTCCCAGGGGGGTTTCCGGCTTCCTCTGTGGTGACCAGGCTAGGAGCACAGGCAAGGGCTGAGCCCGGGGCTCTGTGGCCATCCTATCCACGCTTCTGTCCCAGCAGCTTTGGAGGGAGCTCTTCTCCCCTCTTCATGCCCTCAACTTCGGGATGGGTGGGGACAGCACTCAGCACGTCCTGTGGAGGCTGGAGAATGGGGAGCTGGAGCACATCCGCCCCAAGGTGAGAGGGACCAAGGCCTGGGTTGGGGACCCCGTCCAGGGGCTGCCATTTTCTCAGATTGCCGTTACAGTTTTCATACACCCCAGGGTGGGGGGTGCCCGAGGGATGCAGTGCCTTGCCCCGGGGGCTAAGGACCCAGGCCTCCTGGATCCCCACTTCATCGTGGTCTTGCTGCCTGTCTCACAGATTGTGGTGGTCTGGGTGGGGACCAATAACCATGGGCACACGGCAGAGCAGGTCGCAGCTGGAATCGAGGCAATCGTGGGCCTGGTGAACCAGCGGCAGCCCCAGGCCCGAGTGGTTGTGCTGGTAAGTGAGGCCAGCCCCAGAATTGATGGACGGACAGACGGATGGAAGGAGGGAGGGAGGGAGGGACTGAGGGAGGGTCTCAAATACTAGGCCATCTTGCCTACCTACTCCTTTCTCTTTTCCTTGCCCTCAAGAGGCAGGTCCCACAGCTAGGAGGCCTTATGGGGGAAGGTCTGTGGCACCCCTACCCCAATTTGACAGGGGAAAGAAACTGAGGCTCAGGAAGGGAAGGGGACTTGGGCAAGGTCACAAATGGAGTCCAGGGCCAGGACCCCATGAAGAGGAAACTGACTCGAGGGAAAAAATCGCCTAAGGTCATATACCAAGCTGAGACTTCTCTGTACCCAAGCCATTCCTGCCCTTTTAGAGCTGGGACCTGTCCTTATTAAGTTGGGAAATTGAGGCCGCCTAAGGGACAGTATGGATTGTAGAGTTTAGGACTGAAAGGATATTCAGGTACAATCTAGGTCAACCTCATTTTAGAGTGAGAAACCCAAGGTCGACCACACACACTTCCTAATGATCAGACTCTACTTCTGTGGGAAGGGGAGCTATCTCCCTGCCCGCCCTCCTCAGCCTTGCTCCACCCTTCAGGCCCTGCTCCCAAGGGGCCAGCACCCCAACCCACTGAGGGAGAAAAACCGCCGCGTCAACGAGCTGGTCCGAGCAGCCCTGGCAGGCCGGCCTCGTGCTCACTTCCTGGATGCTGACCCTGGCTTCGTGCACTCAGATGGTACCATCAGCCACCACGACATGTATGACTACCTGCATCTGACCCGCCTGGGCTATACGCCTGTGTGCAGGGCTTTGCACGCTTTATTGCTGCGCCTCCTCGCTTCAGGCCAGGGACCCCCACAGCCTGAGCCTGGCCCCTAAATTCCCTCCCCATTAAACACCCTGTTCCCCAGTCTGGTCTCCAGCCTCATCTTTTGTCTGTCTCAAGTGATTCTGGCAGGAACATTTCCCCACTGGCCCCATCCATACCGGAGGGAAACCCTGTGGACCCAGCTGGATGGAGACTTAGGGACTTAGGTCAACCCCTTCATCTTCTACATGGGAAAGCGGGGCCAGACAGAGCCAGCCAAGGAGCTAGGCCAAAGGCCTGTGACAATTCTGCAGGCCCCACCCCACCCCACTGGATCCTTACGTCCACCCCAATGCCACCTGCCCTCTTAATTATGCTCGGCTCTACTTGGGGGGGGGGTCCTTCCTGGTTGACTTTGGCCTTAGGATTTACACTGGAAGGAAAGAACTCCCTTTGCCGATAAACAAGGGACTTGCCACTTACTGTCTCACAGAGCTGAGGGTTGGGGCAGGCCAAAGGCTCAAGTTGGCATGTGTGTGGATTTAGATGGCCTGGCTGTGTAGGAGGCATTTTTTTGCCAATGTCCAGACTCTCCCATGTTACCCCCAACCCCCCATCCAAAAAAGGCAGCATGGGGTGGGGGGAAAGAGGGCACAATCTGTCATCAGAAGATCCAAGTTTAAATCCAGGCTCTCCCACTTAACCTGTGACTTTAGTCCTTCGAAGATTCTAAAATAGGGGTTGTGGGGCAGACTAGAACAAGGTCGTAAACAACCCCCACACAAGCTTTTGTACACACAAGAACCATTCTAAGCTCTGGGGCCATACCCTGGCCTAGGTGGCCTCAAAGGTTTCCTTCCAGATAGGACTCTGACCTGGTGACCCAAGATGCCAAGTTCCTGGGTCTCTGGGGCTGAGTAACTTGCTAGCAGACCAGGGTGTCTCACAGGGAGCCTGGTGGGCGCTGACCCAAATCTCCTCCCTCAGATAAGCCTGGAGGGGGAGGGCCCAACTCCCTGGTCGTGCACTCCACCTTCTCTTCCCCTGCAGCTCACTTCCTCACAGCTAGGATCAGGCCCCACCCCCTCACCGCTGACCTGGCTGGGGGCGGGGGGAGTTCACGATGGACACCTCAACTCTCCCCAGAAAGGCCCATTACCACCTCCGGCCACAGGGTGGCGGTGGGGGGGGGATGCGCCATGACACTGGCCTACACTGGCCTGGGTCAGGCCTCAGCCCAACACTGGCAGTGATCCCTGGGCCATCTACTACAAGCCAGAGGTCAGGGGCAGGGCCTTCCCCGGGGCAGGTGACCAATGGTGGAATTGCTGCCTCCCAGGCTCCCCGGGCCGTCAGACACGTGTGTTAAAACAGCTTTAATCTCGGTCTTCGAGGCTTCTCGGCACAGTAAGAAATATTGCACATGATCAACATGTATTGTTCCAGGGGGGGGGGGGGGAGGACAGGGGAATTGCCTTCTTAGAAAGGACAGCCTGGGGGGGGGGCAGTAAGGAGGAAAGGGGCGCACCCTGGCCTGCCCCCCAACCTAGGGCCAAAGTGCAGGAGGCCCCCCCACCTTGATCCTCCCCCCTACCCCCAAACTAACCTGAGTCCAGCCCCTCGAGGGAGGGGAGAGAGGGAAGTGGGCACCACCACCCTCAGTTCTGGGCTATCTCCCCAGTGCCCCCTCACATGGGGGAGAGGGGGCTCCCATCTTCCCTCCTTCAGTCCTACCCTCATGAGCCATTTTGCATAAAGTAGAGTGAAAAGATTCGAAAGGTAACAAACTCCAGGTTATGTACAGGGGCTCCGTGGGGGCCAGAGTCCCCCCTCTGCCTTCCGCTGCCTCCCCCCCCAGTCCCCAGGGAGGGAAGCAGTGGGAAGAGGGGACCTTATTCCTCCTTTCACTGGAGGGAGGCTTAATGTACAGGGCTACCCACCCTCCCCACAAAGCTTCCTGCCCAGGGCCAGCTCAGGGCCATCTGTCTCCTCGATAGGTGCTCCAGGCCCTTGGGGATGTGACTCCCCAGCAGACACCTCACCTGCCCCCTGGCGAAGGCCCAGGGGGTGGAGGCGAAGGCTGGGTGGCCCCATCCCAGCTGGATTCACCGGGTGCCGGCTCTGAGGGTTGGGAAGAGGCAGCTGAGGGGACGGAGGATGAGGAAGAGTCCGGAGCAGGTGGGGGCGAGTCAGGACCCTCGGATGGGGGTGGGGGAGCAGCCCCTGCGCTGGCTGGTGGAGGCCCAGGTCCAGGGGCCTCCCCGCCAGGGGGCTGTTCTGTGGGTGTGGCCGCCTGCATGATCTTCTGTCGGACCTCTCGGATCTTCAGCTGGAGACACACTTTGGAGGGAAAGATGTCGGCGTAGCGGGCCTGGAATGCTGCCGTGGCCTGGGCTGGGGACGAATGGACAGCACTGTGAGCACCAGGGGGCGGGGGTCGTGGGGAGACCATCCCGGCTGACCCATGGCCGACAGCCCCCGCTCACCCGAGGGGAAGAAGCCGTGGTCCTGGAAGAGCTGCATGACCAGAGCCCGCCGCTGGTCTAGGGTGCGGCGTAGGGACGAGTAGGGCACCTTCTCGTACTCCAGCTCCCCCAGCACGTCCTCTGCCTCGGTGCCTGCAGTCAAGGAAGGCCAGGTGAGGAGGCCGCGCCGCCCCACCGGCAACCCCCCGCGCCACCCCCCCCAGGCTTCGTCCCGCAGCCTCACCGGTCCGGTCAAATGTGAAGATGTCGCCCTCGCACTTGGCGCTCTTCGGCGTGTTGGGCTCGGAGCTGCAGCTCGAGCGACGCCTCATTTTGCGCTTGGGGGAGGTGGGGTCCTCTGGGGCTGAGTCCAGGTCTGGGGAGAGGGGAGAGGTGTCAGGGAGGAGCCCCGGCTGCCCATGGCCCCGAGGCAGGCCACCACCCAGGCAGCTCCTCACCCGTCGAGTTCTTCCTCTTCTTTCGGTAGGAGCCCAGGATGGCTCGGGGGGAGGTGGCCAGCGACTGCAGGGTGGGCGAGGGCAGCACCTCCTCTGGCCGGAATTCAGGCAGCTCCGCAAAGCGCTCCTCAAAGTCCACCTCGGAGAGGACCCTGCTGGGGGATGGCCAGCATCAAACCCCTGTCCACACCACCCTGCTCGGGGGCTCCACCTCCCTGCCCTTCCGACACTCACTTGTCCACCGAGTCGAAAGTCTTCTTCAGGGGAGGGGGCCGAACCTTCACCTTCTTGCTGGGGGCTTCCTTCCGCTCCGGGGTGTCTCCAGCCCCTGGAGGCCGCCCACCTGCACCTTCACTGCCTCCGGGGGCAGGGGCTGGGCTGGGCGGAGCTGGGGGCTCCCCCCGGCTCTCCAGTGCCAGAGCTGGAATCCGCCAATCTGGGGAGCTGGGAATCTTGCTGGCCTGAGGTCAGGAAGAAGTGGGGCGAAAGAAGGAGAGCGGTGGAGGGTAGTGAGCTCAGAACTGCCCAAAGGGGCGTGGCTATTGAGGGGAGAGGGGAATGGGCAAAGGCATGAGGACAGCAACCCCTGCCCCCCAGCTCCCTCTCTCACCATCTCTGGTGCCTTGACTCCCGGCCGATCCTCTGCGGGAGGGGCGGGGGGAGGGCTGGCGCGGGCAGCCCAATTATCTGGTGGAGGTGGGGGTGCGGGCGTGGCTGGACCCCCATCAGCATCTGTCTCTGGGGCCACTTCCCTGGGGGGACCCTGCTCTGCAGCCTGCCGGGGGATGGGGCCTGGCCGGCCAGGGACCCCAGACTCATAGGAGCCCACAGGGATGCTGGCAATGGCCGCCTTCACCTTCTGTGGGGGCTTGGGTGGTGGACGCTGGGCTTTTGGGGTCACCAAACTATAGGCCACGGAGCCTGTCGAAGAGAAAAGAAATGCCCGGGATGCAACCTATAAAACCCTGGACCTTTTTCTGCCCATGTGCTGCTCCAGTGATTGGCTGGATGGTAAACTGGTTCATGTTCACCAGGTAGGCCTCCCACTCGCCAGGGTAACCCCCCATGCCAGAGTCACATTCCCATCTTTGAAATCCCCATCCCCATTTCTCCCTAGCCCAGGACCCCAACCTAGGCACGTCACCCACCTGTGGCACTGGGAAAAGGACTGGTGGGGGTCTGAGAGGCAGTGGGGGCCGGAGGACCAGGTGCCCCACCTTTGGGCAGGATGGCAGCAGGTGGGGCAGCGCTGGTGGCCACAGTATAGACGAGACCTGGAGGAGCTGGGGTTGGTGGGGCTGGCTGAGGGAGTGGCATGGCTGAGGGGCCCCCTGGCCCGCCAGGGTAGAAGGCTGTGATGACAGGACCTCCAGTACAGGCTGGCGGCAGCTGGGGACTGGGGACTGGTGACACACCAACCTGGCCTGGGGCCAGCAGGGGGGCTTGGCCTGGAAGAGAGGGAGGAAGCAGGGTTAGGACTTGGGATGGATACCACCTGCCTCCTTCCGCTCTACGACCCTTTCCTCAAATGCCCCTCCCCCACCAGTCTTAATCCCTCTATCCCTGTAAATCTCGACTACTCCTTCAATATGACTATCCAGTGTGCCTCACCTGAGATCAGGGGTTGGACTATGGCAGGGCCACTGGGCCCAATGGTGGTGAAGCCCAGGGCCACGGAGCTGGCAGGTCCATAAGAGGCTGGGGTGCCAGGAGCTCCACTCTGGCTGGAGGAGGCGCTGGGACCCAGGGGAAGGGCATGCCCAGCAGCCGACTGCACATATGTTATTCTGCCCAAGAAAAATCACAGTAGGGGAGGTAAGCTAGGGCCGGCGGGGCCTCTACTATGTCCACGTCCCCACCCCACCTCACCAAATTACCTGGTGGAAGAGGGCAAAATGACCTTCTGAGACTGGGATGCAGGACTAGGCAGGGTGGCTGGGCTAAGTGGGGGTACCAGGCTGCCAGGGGTGGTCACTGGCACTGGGGTCAGCTGGATGATCTAGGGGAAGAAAGAGGGTGGGGAGTTGTCTTTGGTCCATGGCCATGTCCCCAGTGCCCACCCCAGGGCCCAGTCACTTACTTTGCTGGATGGCTGGGCTCCATTCTGCACCGGAACAGAGAAAGGTGGGCTCACCAAGGGCAAAGGCTGGCTGGCCCCCCCACCTCGTACTGCCACACTAGGCGCTGCCAGGGGTACCAGGACCTTCCCGGGCAGCAGCTGGGTGGGGCCTGCCGAGGGCTGGGCCTGCACTGGAGACACTGACTGGGCTGAAGGTGAAGAGAGGGAGGGCGGCTGAGGTACCCAATAGACGTGCAGGGTTCACCTTCCTCCTCCCCACATCTCCAACGTCATCTTCGCTCAGACACCCCTTCCCCCATCGAGCCCTGACTCTCCCTGGTGCCAGCGCTCACGGAGCATTCTCTGAACCTTCCACCTTCACGAGCAGATTCATTCCTTAGAACCTCAAACCAATCGGACCAAATGCCATCTAATCTATCCCCGAGTAGAAACGGCCTGCGGGAACACTCCTAGCAAACACCAAATCTCGGCTCAAAAGTCCTGACAGCACCCAGCTGCCCATCCCATAGTGGGGCAGGCAGCTCTCATCACATCTCCCACCCCACTACAGGACCCACCGGTCCTCTATGATCCCCCCTGCCACACGCAGGTCGCTGCTCACAGCTGTCACTCGGCCTTCGAAACCTGGCTGCCCTCCTCTGGATTGGCTCCGACCAGGCCAGAGATGACTAACGCCTCCCCGTCCTGGACAGCCCACCTTCTGGTGCAGACCGCTGGACTGGTCAGGACGCCGGATCTCATTGGAGGCTTCTATTATTAGAGCTTATGGCCCACTCAGACTTTTGGATCTTTGTCAAATGAGCTGCTGTCTCACCACACCTTTGCCATCCTATAACTGCAGCTCGGGCAGTTGGCTTTAATCTAAGGTCAGGCCTTCTCTATCAGTTGCGCTGGCCTTGAAATCATCTCCAGCCTGTTACCTTGTGTAACTTAGCCTGCCTGACACCACGTCTCCAAGCCCTTACCACGCCAGTATCAGTTGACACTCTCACCGCCCTCCCCCCTCACCTTTGGGGGGTGCAGCAGAGGGCACTGGCTGCAGAATGGGAATCCCAGGGGCTGGGGTGGCTGGTGCCAGGACCTTCCCATTGGTGGTAGTTCCTGGTGGCAGGGCAAAGCGGATGCTGGCCGTGGGGCCTGACCCCCCGACAGCTGCGGCTTTGGGCCCGGGTGCTGCTGGGGCTGGGGCCACTTGCAGCTGCTGGGGCAGGGTGGGCAGGATGTACTGCACCTGGGTGATGCCCCCAGGCTTGCCCAGAGGGGCAGGCTGCAGGATGCCCAGGGGCACGGGGCCATTGGGGCCACTGCCAGTGGGGGGCCCCGCTGCAGCTGCTGCCCCCCCTCCACCAGGTGGGCCCTGGGCAATGAACTGCACCGCTGGAGGGGCAGAGGCGCCATAGCCCGGGGCACCCACAAGAAGGTTGGTCACAGCAGCAGGAGCCTTGCCCACCCCCAGAAGGGGTCCTGCCACCAGATGAGGGGCTGTAGGGGCTGCCTGTTTTTTATCAGTGTAGACCAGACCAATACCAAGTGGGGAGCCCCCTGGTGCTCGGGGACCAGCCCCTGCCTCCCCTTTGGCGCCTCCTTCAGCCGGCGACCCCTCACCTCGTCCCGCCCCGGGGAAAGGTTTGGAAGCAATGGGCACGGGTGTACTGCTGACTGGCCGTACCACATTGGTCACCACAGTAGGAGCGGGGCGTGGAGGGGCCGGGGGTGCCCCATAGGTGAGTCCGCCACTCCCCAGGGAGGCGGGGGCTGTCACCAGCACCGTGGCTGATGGCAGTCGGGCGGCTGTGCTCCCGTCCCGCTCCAGGGGCTCCTTGGCCGGGTACAGGCTGCCCCCTGGGGGCAGCACCAAGGCCTGCAAGACACCCCCTCCAGGGGGTGAGGCGATGACCGAGGGGCCAGGGAAGGGCTCTGGCCCTGCGGTGCTCTCTGGCCGCTTGCGCCGATAGACATTTGGGTCCACGGGAGGAAATCGAGCTTTAGGAGGCAGCGGGCCTCCCCCAGCTGGGTGCTGGGCACGCAGAGGCCCTCCAGCAGCACCTCGACCAGGCTCCCGAGGGGCCGGCTGGAAGGAGGAGGAGGAAGAGGAGGAGGCAGGTGTGGGGCCATAGCCCTTGGGAAAAGCTGAAGATGGGTCAGGGGCTCCAGGGGGTTCGGGCTCCAGGGCCGGGCGGCAGTGCGTGAAGGCAGCAGACAACGAGGATGAACGGATCACGGGTGAGAACAGCTTCCTGCCAAAACCCTGGGAGAAGGCATCAGGGTGAAGGGAGGCCCTACAGCCTGGGGCTCCCCCTCCCTGGCCTGCCCTGGCCCCTCACCTTGGCCCCCTCGGGGTCCTCCCCAGAACTGTCCTCGCTGTCACTGTCCGTCACCTGCTCCTTGCACTTTAGGTCGATGTCGGTGGTGCCAAAGCTGTCGTCCGCTTGGGAAGCAGAGGGGCAGAGAAGACGCCGGTGAGCCTGTGCCCCGAAGCCCCTTGGAAGCAACACCCCCAGTCCCTCTGAGAAGACACAAGCTTTTCTCTCCTGTCAGCTTTTAACGGCAGCTCACAATGGTCAGGAAAAGTTGGCAATCATGGGGGACAGGGGGTACAAAGATTCAGGAGAAGACAAGCGCAAGTTGGAGAAAAGGGCCCCATGGCCAGAAGCTTGCTCTGTCACCCCTTCCCAGACCTGTCTCTTCATCTATAAAAAAGGCCGTGCCCCCTGGAGGAGGGGCTCTCATGACAATCAGTGAGGTTATTGGTAAGCATTTTGTAGGGTGGACACTGCTGTTAAAAACACAGGGGCCTGCCACCTAGGAGGCATGGGGGGGGGGGGCGTGGACAGGCAGAGAACAGGATGGGTGCAACCAAGGGAAAGCCCAGGGAGGTGACGTCCGATCCCTCCACACTGAAGCGCGAGGTCTGGGCCAGACTCGAAGGCTCCTTGACAAAGTTCCAACATGCCCGAGTCTGCAAGCCCGTGTCCTCCCTTGTGCCCCCCATCTCTCCTCCTCACCTATGACATCATCATCTCCCTCCTCCTCACAAATGACCATCCGCTCCTCATCACTGGTCATGTCTTCACTAGCTGTGCGCTGGGAGCGGGATGGCCTTGCTGGCAGCATTGGGGGCCGCCCGCCTGCCAAGGCTCCCCCCTCGCTGGGAGCGGCAAAGGGTCCCGGGCCCCCGTACTGCGGCGGAGGCTTCGGCCCCGTGTAGGGAGCTGGACCTGACACCATCTGCGGGGAGGGTGGAGACGCAGGGTTGGCTGATGGAGTCCTGATGACCCCTGCCCTCGGGGGCCCTCCCCCCAGCTGTACCTGGGTGAGTTCCTGCAGCGCCTGGCTGTCTGCTTCACCCCCATCTAAGCCATGCACGCCACTGTGGGAGAAAGCTCTCGGCCTGGTGGGGCCGGGCCCTGCTGGGTGGAGCCGTTCCGCTGCCCCAGGGCCAGACGCAGGGGTCTTGACCTCTGCGCCCAGCAGGGTTTGGGCTGCTACTGACAGTAACTCTGATGAGACTGCGTGGGGAAGAAACCAGAGTCAGAGTCTAACGAGAGCCCAGGTCAGCCAGCGCAGATGTGAGCCTTCCCCACGGCCCCGCTGGCACGGGGTCACGTCTGACCTCGGCCATGACCTCTCTAATGATGGGGAATCAAGGCTTCGCGAGACAGAGGGGAGCATCCCAAGGCCATGAGGCTCTCTGGATGTCCAGTCAAAACCTGTCTCTCTAGGATTCCTTCTCACTGCTCCAAGGCGACCCAGAGGGGCCCAGCAGAGTGTGATCCCTCTTCTGTGCTAGTCCTTAAAGACAAATGCCATCATGGGTACATATATGCACATGCACACACACACATTCCCCCCCCGCCCAAGTCTCCTCTAGGCCAATGATGCCCAGCTCTTTTAAATGGGCACCGAGATGGTACAGTGAATAGAGCACTAGCGCTGGAGTCAAGAGGACCCAAGTTCAAATCCAGCCTCAGATACTTTCTAGTTCTATGATCCTGGGCACCGTTTCAAACAACTAAGTGTGCCACTGTTTCCAGGAAGGAAAGGGCAAAGAAGAGAACAATCAGGATCACTGATTCCTTTGCTCTCTTGAGACTCATCAAGCCCTTCTGTCACAAGCACTTTGTGGGGAGGCAGGGCAAGGCTCAGCATTCCCATTCTGTTGGCTGAGGCTCAGAAAGGTGCCCGACTTGCTCCTCTGAAGCAAACTGCAACCTATGCCTTCTGACTCTGAGAACAAGTCTGCTTTTGCTAAACCAAAAATGGACTGAAATGAGGGTAGAAGAGGGTGCTGGATGGGAGAGCTCAGGAGGTCAGCCCACACACTGGGAGGGTAAATGCTAGACGAGGCTTGTGGAGCCGTAGGAGGGAAGCTGAGAGGGAGCCATTGAGAGAAAGGAGGCCTGGGGACGCTGGAGGCCAAGACCAGGCTTCCCCAGACTGGGCCCCAATCTTGTCTCTTTTCCCATCTATAAAGCAGCACTGTCTGGGTACCGGCCGGCACCGATGTCCTGGGGCTCTGCTGACCAACCTCCCGGAGCAGCTGCCGTGCCGGTCTCCGACATGCTGCGCTCCCGCATCTCCTTGGGGCCTCCCGCCAGACCGAGGGCCACAGGCTTGGCGTCTGAGCTCGACTTCTTCCGGTCTTTGTTGCACCATTTCCAGTCTGGGTGGGCCTTGAAGTGGGCCTCCTTCACCTGGCAAGGGGAACGCCGCAGAGCTCCAGTCAGGGGCCCGGGAGGCCCTGGCAGGAGAGCCACAGAGGAGCCACAGACTGGGAGGAGCAGGGAGAGGAAGTGGGCGGGGGTGGGAGGGACTGACAAGAGCAGGTTCAGGGCCCCGGCCTGGGCTAGGGTGGAGCCTCCTCGGCCAGAGGTATTTCCTGCCGGCTTCCTCTTGGCCTTTGTTGGGGCAGGGGCAGGAGCTGGGGGTTACCTGGAAGGCCAGATCGTGGTATTTCTGCTTCTCCTTGGGCCCCAGTGCATACCACCACTCGCCCAGGATTTTGCTGACAGTCCGGTTATCCTGGTTTGGGTGGCGCTGGTGCACCAGGGCCCGGTGTCGCTTGCTGAATATCATGAAGGCGTTCATGGGGCGTCGGATATGGTCTTTCTCCCTCTGAAGGCAGACAACAGAGAGGGCACAGTCAGGCCTCAGGGAGTCAATGAGGGCAAGCAGGCGAGCTAGGGAAAGGGGAGGTCTAGAGGACCTTGTTGGGGCTGCGCCCGTCCTTCTCAGAAGAGGAGTCCCTTTCCTTGGGCAAGGCGCTGAGGGACTGCGTCCGGCGCTTTCCTGGTGGGAGTGGCAACTGGATCTCCGGAGACATGATAGAGAGGAACCTGTGGAATTGGGGAGAGCTGGATGACCCCCACCCCCCAGTGTCTTTCCCTTCCCTGTCCCCACGGCCTATCCCAGGAGGCTGGCCCTCCCCCAAAAACACTCACGCATCATCGTGGTCACTCTCTGTCTCGCTGTCCAGCCGACTCTCCCCTGTAGGGCCAGGGCCTTCCTCCTCAGAATGCTGAGGTGGAACCTTGCCACCTTCGGAGGCCCCAGGGGCCTGTGGAGGGCCAGGAGCTGGGCTCTCAGGGCAGGTGGCTCCAGGTGGCCGTCCAGATTCTGGGCCCCCTGTCCCACTGGGGGACTGCTCATGGGCTACTGCTGCTGACTCGGCAGGCTCTTAAAGCAGGAGAAAAACAGATACTTGTTAAAGCTAATCCTGCCAGTTAAAAAGGGATCAGGCCAGGATTAGTCATTCAAATATCACTAAGATGGGACCAACACAAAGGAAAAGAAAGGTCAAGCTGACACCCCAAACCCGTTACAATGCCTGAGAAAGAGCATCCCCTCTCACCAGTCCACAAGCATCTTACCTTTGCACTGACTAGAGGAGACAGGGTGGCTGGCCGGCTGCTGGGCCTCACTGGGCTGAACAGAAGGGTCAGGCTGGCTGGGTGCCAGGAACGGGACAAGTGAGTGCCAGGGAAATACGGCCACTGATCGTGGCTCCACATTTGTCCACACTGCCAGGAAAGAGAGGGAAAAAGTAGGTGGGGAGCATGGTGAGGCTCGAGGGAGGGAGGCAGGCACAACTCAACCATCCTGCCCCCAATCCCTCCTCTCACTCCTGGCTCCTTCCTGTCTTTCAGAAAGCTGGTTCCTCTTCTCTATACCTCACCCCCCCCCCCCCCCGCCAAAAAAAAACCCCCTCTATGCTTCCTGCTACTCATCCAACTCAGATCCCAGGCAAGACTTCTCCAGAATCCTAACTGGGCCTCCTTTTCCTCATCTGTAAAATGAGGGAGTTTGAGCAGATAGCCATTCTCATCCAGCCTTAAGTCCCATTTACACCTTACTCCCAGTTGGGTCCAACAATGCCTAGATGCCCAGGGGGCTTGCCTGGGGCCTCTACCTTCTAGGTCCCAGCCTCCTTAACTTTCCTCTGGCAGGCCCGGGAGAACAGCACTACTTAGCCCATTTACCAGCAACCCCTCCCCCGCCACATTCCCCAACCGTGGGGGAGGAGGAGGCTCTGCCTCCCTTTCCCCTCCCACAGCTGTCATCTGGGACATCACAAGGCCTAACGTGCCCCCGAGTGGAGAGGACTCAGCCCCCTCTCATTCCACCATGGGTCCCAGAGAACCCCAAAAGAACCCCTACGGGATATCCAGAGGGGGGCTCTTCTATGCCAGAGCCCGGGCCACACGGCCCCTGCTGCCAACCCCCCGGCGGCACGGCCTGGGCAGGGGCCCCTCCACTGCCCCGGGGCTGGGGGGAGCAGACCAGACAATGGGGAGGCAGCCAGAGCCCGCCGCTCCCCTGTGGGGGAGGGGAGCCCTGGCCCAGGTGTTTCCTACCCATCACTTCCCTCTCCCGCCCCCCCAAGGGGGCTCGACTCCAGGAAGGGGGGCCGACCGGCCCCTCCCCAAAGCCTCCTGGCTAAGGAGTCGGAGGTCGCCAGGGGCCGCGGCCCAACGCGTGTCCCCACTCGGGATCCCTCCAGCAAAAGTTCCCACTGACAAGGGCGGCCCATCGAAGGCCGCCGGGCGGCGGGCAGCGGCCAAGCGCGCCAAGGCAAACCCCGGTCCCCGGCCCCCCGCCCCCCGCCGGGTGGGGGGAAGGGGCACTGACCGAACATGCCGAGGCCGCGGGGGGCGGCGGCGCCGGGCGCGGGCAGCGGCCGGGGGGCCGAGTACATGGTCCCGCGCGGGCTCCGGGCCGCTCACCGCCCGCCGCCTCCTTCTGGCTCTCGGCGCCGCCTCCGCCGCCGCCTCCTCCTCCGCCGCCGCCGCCGCCGCCGCCCGGGCCCGGGGGGAGCGGGAGGCCGCCGCCGCATGCCCCCCCTCCCCCGC